TAAAATAGATAACCAAAAGTTGTACATATAGCTAGTTGTATACTTATTTTGTACAAGTTACAAAATTATAATTAAAATACAATAAAGGCAGTAGCTGCTGATAATTACAGCTTTAGCAAAAATATATAAAAAAATTTAACTATACTATTTTAAATTAAGAAATGGCCTATTTTTTTATTATAGATTTTTGATATTTCTATTATAATATATTTAAAATATTCTATTTTAAGAATGTGGTGACTTAGTAAAGTAGATAAGTTGTTATACTCTCAAATAGTAGATTGTAAGTTCAAAACTTACTAACAGTAAATTTGGATAATTATCTATATAAAATATAGACAGTATTATAGTAATGGCATTCTGTCGATCAGTTGGAATAGGATACCTATAACTATAGTTACATCAGCATGACTGACAGGTCTGGGGCATTTGTATAACCTGTTATACAGAGGAATGCAAACTGGTACCAGGCAGTGCAAATCTAAAATAAGTCCTTAGATTGTGTAAATCTGTAAAATTGAGAAGTCAGATTCACTTGAAAATTTTGAGCAAAGAGGTAATATGAATCTTTGACAATACTACTGTAAAGACTAGACCTAGAAAATAAATACTAATATGAAGAAATCAGGTAAGCAAAAACCTTAGATAAAGGATACTACCAACCAGGCAGCCAGATTTCAGACCAAAGGAAAAGAATATTAGGCCAGCCTTAATATATCAAGAATAGGTTACAGTTCTTCTAGACTATCTAGATTGAAAGTCTGAGGTCAAAGCAGAGATATACTAAAAGTACTAGAGATATGCTGTGAAGTTAATGCTAGGGTCTGGATAAACTCTATAAGAGTAACCCTTGTTAGTGTTCTAAAAGTGAATAAATAGTTAACAATAGGGGGCCCTTTGTGCCTTACTAGCAGATGACATACTTTGAAATATGTAATGGCCTAGAAACCAGTACAAAAAGAGTAGGTACTATATTGCTTAGACAGTATATCAGTTAGGTATATACAGGGGGTTAGTTGAGGTTACATTATAACAGAGCAAATAGTTAAAAAGTTTAAATAAATAATTTTTTAGTAGCTTATAGGTATGGCATCTAGTATAGAACCTTAGGGCAAACTACTTAAATAAGCAACCAAAAGTTGCATGTGTGACTAGTTGTACTCTTATCTTTGTAAAAATAGTTGTAATAACAATAGTTGTAATAACTAACCCAATAAAAGTCAATAAAGTATTGTCACAAAGTATAATCTTTAACAAAAAAAAAAAATTCTATTTTTAATTAGCTAATTAAATTTTAAGAAATATATTTTTTGAATTTTTTTTTTTTTTCAAAACACGAATTGGTGTACTTTATTAATATAATACAATTATTTAACTATTTACAGTCTAATATGTGTTTAATGTTTATATGTTTCATAATTTTTTGTATTCTTTTTTCTTTTTGCAATTTGTTTAGAACTTGCAAGTTTTTTTTAATTTTCTCTTCAGTAACTTTACTAACTATTGATTCAGGAATAATATTTTCTTCCATCTAGCTTGGGTATACCATAGTCATATTTCATATATAGCTGAGATATGTATCCATTATGCTGTCTCAAGTTTAGAGGCATCATGAATATTACTGGTCATAAAGATTTCTTCTAGTGTTTCTGGACACTTTACTTCTTGAGAATTATCAAATACTTTATAGTATTCTTTTCAGATTATTTTGCTAATATTACAATTAATTGCAAAGTGTTTAATCATTTGTTTCTTCTTAGAACAGTTTAGGCAGTTTCTGTTTATATCTTTGTCTATGTGCATTAGCCTATATCCTAGTAGTAATGCACTATTTTGTAATCTCCAGAAGATGTTCTTTTTTTGATTCAATACTTCCTTTGTATCTAACCATTCAAAAGGCTTTCATTGGTTTTCTTGTAATGTTATAGGAACTTGAGAGGTTGTTGGCATTATTGAATATAATCTTAGATATTCTATTGCTTTTTTTACTAAGTACTGATCTCCTGACTGGTTACCTATTTTTAAACTAGAGGCATTCCATGGCCAATTACTTGTAGAGTTGGTGGTTCCTTCAAGTCTCTTCTATGTTATTAGGTATAGTCTTCAGATCTCTGGCCAGCCCTTTAGCTTTATTGAATATTTGGTTAAGGTCTTAGTTACAGTTATTTCTCTTTTATTCTGTAACTGTTTAGATATTAGAACTCTTTCTGTTTTTGCCCATAGGCTGTTTTGGATTAGGAGTTTGATTCATACTGATGTTAATCTGGCATCCAGAGCATCTTTAAGCATAGGAGCTGCCAGTCCTCCTCTATCATAGTCCAGCTGAAAAGCTATGTATCTAGAAAGCATCTTGGATTTATTTTTAATCCAATCTGATATAAGGTTGTTTATCATGTTTAGTTGCTTTCTGCTCGGTGGCAGCAGGTAGGTCAAATACCAAATTTTCAATATAAAAAGAGCTTTAGCTACTAAAATTTTTCCTTTAAAAAATAGGTTTTTAGTTGCTATTTTTTCTATCTTGTTCTTAATATTTTGTGTTAGACTTTCTCAAAGTTGTTTTTTGGGGTTGCTCTCTATATCTACTTCATATCCTAAAATTCTTAAAATGGTTTCTTTGTTTGCTATTTTGTATTGACTTTGATTTTGTAATTCTATCACTTTTGCTATATTTGTTATAGAAATTAGTATAGATTTTTCTTGGTTGATTTTAGCATTGGATGCTTGCTTATATCACTTTAGCAGAGCCATCAACCTTTCCCAATTCTGAGATGAGCTAATTCCTATTGTCAAATTGTCTGCATATGCTACAGCTTGAAAGTTGCAACTTGGTAGCTGAACTCCTTTAATCTCCTCTTAAATTTTAAGAATCAGTGGATTTAATACCATTATGTATAGTAGTGAGGAAAGAGGGTCTCCTTGTCAAACTCTTCTTTTAACTTTAAAGAGTTCTGAAATTATGCCTGCATCTGCTATATTAGCTGTTTGAGAATTAAAAAAAGACTTAATGATATTAATAAATCCCACATTGAAGTTCATTTTTTCTAAAACCTTTAGAATAAATGTGTGGTTTATTCTATAAAAGGCTTTTTGTTGATCTAGAAGCAAGAGCCAGTGAGAGGTGGCCTGGTCTTTTTGATTTCTCATTACTGTAAGAATATCCAAGGCAGCATCTGTGATCGATCTTCCTTTTATAAAAGCTTGTTGTGATTGGCCAATTATTGTTTCACAAATTAAGTTAAATCTGTTTGCCAAGATCTTCATAAAAATTTTGACATCACAGTTTGTAAGTAATATAGGTCTCCAATTATCTATATTATTTAACTCTTCTGTTTTTTTTGAAATTAGTGTAATAATGCTTTTAATCCAGAACCTAGGGATGTTGCCTGTTTCTAAGCAAAAATTAAACAGTCTTGTGAGTATTGGAAGAATCTCATCTTTGATACTCTTGTAGAATTCATATGTAAGACCATCTGAGCCTGGAGCTTTGTTGTTAGGAAGTATGTTTATTATATCATTAACTTCTTTTTTAGAGACTTGTTTCATTAATACTGCATTCTGCAACTCTGTTATAGATAGAAGATTATGTGTAAAAAAACTTGCAACTTCTGCATCTATTCTATCTTTAATGTATTGTAATGTAGAGGTTGGGTTTTCTGCTACATATTCTTGTAATAGATGTATTTTATCTTTGGCTAATGCTGAGTTTCTTATCTTATATAGAGAAAAGAAAAATTTTGTAGATTTTTCTCCTTTCTCGATCTATTTGGCATTAGACCTCATTTGCCATTTGTCAAAAAGTGACTAGAGTTCTTCTTGTAACTGTAACTTAATGTTTTCTTTAATTACTAGAATTTTATCTGTACTTTCACTATTAGCTGCTTTGTTATTCAGTTCTGTAAGTCTTTTTTGCAGTTTTTGTATTTTTTTTTCAGGAGAAGCTTGTGGGTGAAATGCTCTTATTATAGACTGTATTCTACATTTGTACAGGTTCCACTTTGTAAAATCATGAATATTTGAAACTTCTTCTATTTTTTCACTTTTAAGAAAACTGTTATCCCAGCTGTTTTGGAAAAATCATTCTACAAGCAGATGATCTGAGTTGCCAAACTGTGTTGCAATATTCTGACAGTGATAGATGTGATTAGCATCTATGAATATATAGTTTAGCCTAGTGGCCATTCTATGATTTCCTTGAGTGTTTTGATAATATGTTAGAAAAAGATTATTATTATTTATAGCCATACATGTGTCTACAAAATTTGTAATAAGTTCTTTGAGTTGTTCTCTTGTAGGGTCATTAGCTGCTAGAGCATGACTAATTCAGTCTTTTTGTGGGTTAAAATTAGTGTTAAAATCTTCTGCCAGTATGTTGATGTATTTCTTTTCATATTGTGAAGTTCAAATATTAAAGAAATGAGTCCTATACTCTATGTTTAGTGATGCATATATATTATTTAAAAGAAATAGTTGTTGCTTATATGTGAATTTTGCTGTGATTACTCAACTCTTATGTAATTCCTTAACATCGTTAAAGTGAATATTTTTGTTTCCTGCTAGTATTGCCATTTTAGCTGTCCAATAGGAACTGTAATTCCATTGTTGTTGCAAAAAATTTCTTGTGTCTACATTTTCTAAGTTTGTTTCTTGAAGCATGATTATATCTATTTTATATGATTTTAAGAGTGTAAGTGTTCTGTAAGCTTTGTCCTTGTTATTTAAACCTTTAACATTTAAGGTTGCGATTTTGATTGACTTAACCATATTTGTTATATATAAGGTGTAGTTTAGAACCTGTTAGTCTTTGGGTTAAAGACCTTTGTGTTTATCTTATTGGATTTGTTTTCCCCTAAGATAGCTATTTTGGATTTGTGTTTGTACTTTCTCTTAGAGATGACTACTTTAAATCCATCAGAATCTTCTTGTTTAGTGTTTGTCAACATTGTAACCATTAGTATATCATTGTAAAGAGATGCCATTGGGTCATAAAGACCATTTTCTTGCTATATTTTTTGTGTATTTAATGCAGCTTCCTTTTGTATTGTTTCTTCTAAAAGCATGAATTGAGTGCTTTTTGCACTATTATTCATTTCAGTTTCTGTTCTTGGTTGTTCCATTTCTTCATTATTTGGAGAGCTACTATTAGCTTTAATTTTTGCATTTGGTTGCTCTGCTTTCTCATCATCAAAGTTCATTCCTAGACTAAGTTCTTTAGTATAAGGATTTTCTGTGCTAAATTTTGTTATGGTTTCTTCTTAATAATTCATATATTTTTTTTTTTGTAATCTTTGTTCCCTTCTTGCCTTTTGCAAGTTTCTAAGTTCAACAGATGCTTGGTATTTAGAACATTCTTTTTTGATATGTCCTGTTTTGTCACAAAAGTAACAAAGTTTCGGAGCTTCTCTTCAGTTTGTTGTTACTTTGTGATCCCAAACATATATATACTTAGAAATTCTTTTTGCTAGTTCAGGGTCATTTGTTGTTTCGAAAATTACCACCCATTGGTCTGATAATATTGAAGTTTCTTTATATACTAGTGGTTTGATAGATGCAA